GTTGTTGGTTTGATTATGCAGTCACCCGAATGACATTAGAACTAAAACATTGTTTTTATATATTGGGATTTTTGAGGTCCCAAGTTACTCGTAATGATTAGGAATTAAGATGTTTATATTGAATGATAAATTTCAGATCTTTGTTGCAATCATTAAATGATATGTAGCAATAGAGTATATTTTCCATAATTTTCTTTTTCATTTTGTTTATTATTATGGAGCATATAGTTACGGTAGGATAAGTTAATGAAGTTTTCATGTTTTCAGGAAGTATGCGTGTGTCATTTTTTTCTAAAATGCTTTAAGGCTAATTTTGTTTGTCCCTGCCGTGATTGTGGAAATCATTATAGATATACACGTGTTGCATATAATTCAATTCATTAGTATATAATATGTATAGAGAAGCAGAAGGTAGTTTCCCTCGATTAATTTTTTTCTTTTGCTCAGTTAGTCATACTTTTTATCACACTTTTTTGTTTTGTATCTGTGAGGACATTCTCTTTCGTATGAAGAAAACAAGAGTTTTTGTTTGTTTTTATACACTGTGAACTGGCAAAATTGTCATTATTCGCGTGGCAACTAAAACGTCAAAGAAAAGGATTCTATTATTAATATTAAGTTCATAAGTGCGAAGCAGAATTGTCCTTGAAGATTTCTTTAAGCATTTATATATATATATATATATATATATATATATATATATATATATATATATGTGTGTGTGTGTGTGTGAATTTAGTGTATTGATGTAGCAGATCATTATTTAAACATATTATTAAATATAGCAGACAATGTCTGATCTATCATGTCTGATCATAAGCCGTTCTAATGTTCGAATGTTTGCTTTAATTTCTGGTGAAAATAAAAGCAAAAATTGTTCAACATTTGGATATTTTTTTTATTAAGTGGGTTCTAAGCTGTCGGCTCACATGAGCCATCCTCAGAGTGGTTATACAGACATGAAACGACAACGATATATAGCAGGATTTCGTTGTCAAGCTTTTGAATCTTTCTATACTTCGTTTTTGATTGGTTATTCTAGCTTTTGTAACAATGCTCCCCTAGTGTAGGATCGTTAATTAATCTGAAACTTTTTAAAACCATTTATTTTATTTTCAACATCATCACTTGAGAAGACACAGAATGTATTGAAACAAAATGGCTATTTTTGTAGTGATCTTATAACATACTTATGTTATAATTTTTATAAAAAATAATTATATATATATATATATATATATATATATATATATATATATATATATATATATATATATACGTTATATTATTATTTTGCGGATGCACGTGTTTCCGTAGAAGTTTCTGTTTTTAAGCAGTATATTTGGGTTTACCAGCGTGGGTTTCTCAAGCGCCTTTAACACTTGTATCTATTTGATATTACGTATGTAATAATAGGAAATTATAATAGCTTATGGGCAAAAGTTCATTAATTACTTAATGCACACACAGACCATTTTTGTTACTGTACAGGTAGGTATCTGCCTATTGATCTTTTCTTCTTTGTGTATGTAGTTTTTTTTTTTCTTTTCTACCACTATGGTTTTTTTTGGGTTTTGTTTTATTAGTTGTTCTTTTTATAAAGTTTATAAGGATTTCAGTTGGTTTTAACAATACTTTCGAGTGACATTATATATATATATATATATATATATATATATATATATATATATATATATATATATATATATATATATAAGAAATATAGGTTTAAGATGTGCATATTTATGGGATAAGGTGCTCAGTATCACACATAGAGCGTATGTATATATAAATATAAATTGAAGTCAACACTCAGTCAACAGTTAGGCGACAGACTGTTTTATGCTAGATACAATCGTCAGGCCGCGAATTCGAGTGTTGACTTCAATATTCTCTTTTATATATATATATATATATATATAAAAGAGAATATATATATATATACAAACACGCACACACACACACACACACAGGGAAAAAACACTACTATCTCATTTATACACATATATCTACCAAAATTACGCAAAACTATCTTGAAATAGTAAAGAGTAAATTTATTCAATAAAATGAGTTATAGTCTTCAACCACGAAATCTAGACGACTTCGGAATCTCCTGCAACTCAGATGGTGAATGCTGCCATAATCCTTGCCTTCAGTTCATCGCTCAAATGCGCCCCACATATCATAATCAAGAGGTTGCAGTCTATGGAGTTAGGTGGCCAGATGCTTTTTGTTGACGAATATTAATACGAAGTGAATATAAGATAGAGAAAGAAAAGTGAAATCTGTGTGTCGGTTTCAATTCCAGCCAAGATTGTTGCGTTCAATTTTACACAAATACCTATGAGAAACGTATTAAGGAAATTCTTCTCCACCTCTGTGTTAAATATCTGGATAGACTGGTTTGGCAACCAGTCTAGGAGAGGACAACAGGGAATCCCAAACCGGTTGGGTGTGGAGCTGCTACACTGCGTACTTGCTACAGAAACTATAACAGTAATCAGAAACGTGGTGAAGTTATGTCCCAATTCCCCAAAGAGGAATGACGCTGAGAAGGAGAATAAATATTTTGAGCCTTTTACAAGATGCTAACCTTACGCTGCTTCGTACATCCAGATCGACTGACAATCTTTATTTTCAGTGTTTATAAGAAAACATCTACAAAACAATGTGCTAACTTTTTTCAAATCCTAGTAGTTGCTAACAAATGCTTCAACGTTGCTTCCGAATTAGTTCAGTGCTGCGCAAGTACAAACCGACATTTTCATTTAATCAACAACTGTAAACAAAATTTAATACTGCCAATGGCCGAGGCTTTCATAGCTTCGACGTTTATCTGAGAGAAAAAAAAAACTGCCGTGTTTTTTTATGTAAAAGACAAAGAAAGATTCGATGTTTACGTTGAATTTAATTCAATTCCTTTATATCAACTTTAGACGTCTTTGCCAATATTTTTTCCTGCGACTTTTCTTGGGGAAACGCGTTTCATTCTTTTTTTATATATATATTTATCATCCTTATATATCTTATATCTTTTTATGTAAATATTTTAGGTACCTACTATCTCTTGAAGTGTTTCTCATAGATTAATTTATGTATCTCATGACTTTGCATCGAAAGATATATATCTTGTACATATAACGTTATACATCACTTTCTTGTATATAACATTTAATATTATATATTTACCTATATTATTATATTTTGATACCATAGCATGTAAATTGTAATATTAGCTGTTTCTTTAGAAGATAACAATCGCTATTCATTGACTGAGCAGCCATTGCTACTCTCGACTGAAATTAATAACATCTTTCTAATAAAACAACTCTTCAGGAAAATATGTTTCTCAAGTTCAGTTATTGCTTTTCCTGGATTGATGGGGATTTCCTTACTAACCTTTTATTTGAAGTAGTGTGGAATGTCAACATCTTGATTATGTTATTATTTTCTCTTCGTCTTACATATGGGACGGTAAATTTACATATGATCAGTGTAATTAGCGTCACTTTATTAAATATACACTTTTAGTACCGACTTGGCGATTCTTTTGTATCAGAGCCACCTCAATTCTACTTGACATGGATTCTGCAATGATCCGGAAACAATTTTTCGATATTTAGATCCAGGCTATTATTATGGCATCCCATAATTTTTCCACAATGTTTGGCTGCACATCCAGGAGTTGAATCTCCCTTTTCTCCACATTCCAGATATGCTTAATTGGATTGAAGACTGTGAAAACCATAGGAAATTCATTTGTCTACCCCATGAACCAATCTGACACTATTTTTTGAATTGTGACACTGTTGAAGGTCACCACCAGAGGAGAGGTGCGTTATAGTCAGAATCTGGGGTAGGTGGTCAGCCACAATATCTAGAAAGATTGTGTCATTTAAACGATCATTTATTGGTTCGAAATATTCCAAAGTATGCCAAGAAAATATTTCCTATATCGTTAAATCAACGCAACCCCTAGCCCACAAAGAACACCGGAGCCATAGGTTCACATTATTTACACCAAATTCTGGCCTTAGCATCCTAATGACGCAGCAGAAATGAAAACTCACTAAACCAACCCGGACAACATTTTTCCAATCTTCTGTTCTTCATTTGTGGTGATCCTTACTGAACTATATATTATGGTTTCTCATCAGGCATCGTGTCCAGCAGTTTCATGAGTTGTGCATTCAGAGATTATCTTCTGTAATCTCTATGCTAAAGGTTATTTGAGCCACTCTTGCCTTTCTTTCAACTTGATCCTGTGTGGACATTCTCCTCCGACCTCTTTCATCAACAAGGGATCCATTCACAGAATTGCGACGTGCTGGACTTTTTTTTCTTTTTCTCTCTATAATGTTAGAAATGTTTTTGGATGAAAATCCTAGTCAATAGTTTGGAAAACACTCAAACTCGCTCGTCTATCATCAACGAAGATAAGGCGCTCGAAGTTAATTAATTCATATTTATTTCCAGTATTTATGCATAAAACGGAATTCACCGTGTCGCCATGACCATGTGTCAATGCCTATATGGCCATATTTAAACGCCTATATAGCCATATTTAAATGCCTATATGACCATTAGGAAATACCTATATGGCCATATCTAAATGCTGCCATGTTATTAACTAATTAGAAATTCGTATAAAAGAGTATTTGCTAACGTGTACTTAATTAAGTGACAAGTGACAAGTGTATATATATATATATATATATATATATATATATATATATATATATATATATATAATTTATTCGCCCTTTTACTTATAGTTTTGTATTGTATCATGCATTTTATAGATAGGTTATTTAATGTTTGTAATTATGTTATATATATATATATATATATATGTGTGTGTGTGTGTGTGTGTGTGTGTGTGTGTGAGAGAGAGAGAGAGAGAGAGAAAAGAAAGATGTTAATATATTTTATTTATTTATGATTTTCTGGTAGCAGAAAACAGCCCTGGAACGAAAATCAATACAAGCGTTTAAGGTTATATCATGTTAACACATCGGTTCTTGTACGATCACCGAAGTTAAGCAACGTCGAGCCAGGTCAGTACCTAAATGGGTGACCACCTGCGAACACCAGGTGCTGTGAGCTTGAATATGCTGTCGGTGTAATAGGCAACGGGTCGAAATCAGTGTGCTGAGTTCCAAGTCCAGTCGGGTTCATTGTATTTTCTCGCGCAAATACTCTTGGGAAAGACATGAATCCACCTTTTCTATGGTTTAATTAGTAGAACTTGTATCAGTAAATCATTATTATCTTCAAAAAATTATTACAAACTGAAAATATTTTCTGGTTTTAAATAACCTGCAAAAGGTTGATAAGCCGTAAAAAACAAATCAAGTAGACACACTCACGCGCACACAAATTTTGCACTCTACTATATATATATATATATATATATATATATATATATATCCTTAGTTGCCTTCTAAATAAGCTCAGTGTAGTGATTAGCCTCATGCAATCTCATAGAAATGATAACAAGACGAGAAATCTGTAGACATAAAGGAACAAAAACAATCTACAACCGTGGATTAAACAAAGCTTCCAGTTAAAGAAAAATGCCTTTACTTTACTCGGATCGGAAAACACCTGAAGAAGGACACAACACTCGTAACGTTGTGATAATAACTTAAAACACTGTAAATGATGTAAATAATGAATATACTTCATCCCAGAAAATGAGACAGAAATCTGTTTGTTTATTTTAATATTTTTTTCAAAATAAATTACGATATTGTTGCTTAGCTGTCTTTCTTTAAAACGCAGCCTTATTAATACATGTAATTGGATTCAAAATTTTATTTAAAGTCTAATTATCCCACGACTTAGTAGATCGAGGATTTAACTCGCCGAGTTCTTCGTGATAGAACACCGACGATGTTCAAGTAATTTCTATGTAATAAACAACAGTTTGGTCTAGAAGTAATCCCTACTTTGTCATGTATATTCCTATTAAACCATTAAAAACATTGTCCACATTGAACGGCAATTAGAACTTCAAACAAATGCTTTATTTTCATCGAACTCGATTGATCTATCGATTTCTGTCTTTTACTGTCGTCGGCCTTATTTCTTTAAAGAATCGATGGTATTCATAGCGGCGTTCGTGGATGCAGTGACGAAATTCACATACATGCTCGAGCGGTGATTGCCTCACCCAACAAGTATTCACACTACATTAGTCACAAGCCATTTATCTGCTTATATTCTAAAATCCTAAACTTATGTGTGTAACAATGAATTGTATCAATTTTAATCAAAATGTTAACTTTCAACATTGACTTAAATAAAATGTTACGAAAGAAGATCATATCGATATTAGAAAAGGTACTAATAGTCAATGGACTTGAGAAACCTATTTTCCGGAAAATCTGTTTCTCTGAAGAGATAGATTTTATAAATCTTAGCTGACAAGAGTCACTGTTACAATAAATACAGAATTCTTCCTCGACGTTATCATTGTCATTTTAATAATAAAATAGAAAAATTGTATCAGTAGAGTGAAATAAACGTTATGTGATTGATAGATGTTTAAGTGTTGTGGATTCCGGAATGAAATCCGGTCTCAAATGAATGACAAACGCATGAATGAAATATAGCAAATAAATGTATTGACATAATAATACAATTGGTAATACGGTTAGTAGATCCAGAAATGCGGTTAGTAGCAATAATAATAATATATATACAGTCTGGGAAATTCAGTATCGAAGTATGACTTCCTTCTGAGTCTACGTGCTCGCAACTGTGACTCCTACAAAGCGGTTACCTCACACTCTCACTCTCTCTGTGCATCTCACTCTATCTGCCGGGCATTCACCGGCAGCAGTACAAGTACACACCAGGCGAGTCCACTTGTATGAAAAAGGGGTGGACCCCATAACATAAGTAAATGCTTTTTCTTTTCTTATTTCGAGGAATTTCACCTTTTCAATGAAAGGAAGCGCTTGGCGACTCCTTTTTGGCATATCCAAATTGCCAGCATCACTACTCTTGCTTTTTCGAACAAAAGTTAAGCAATATGCATGAATTATTTCTAGATTTGATCAAGGGAAAGTGCTTGGGTATTCCATGGTATAAAACAAAAAGAAAATACAAGGTTCTTGAAGTGGAAAACTAAAACTTGTGGCACATTGAGGAATTCCCGTTTTAGTTGGGGCCCTTGGACTGATTGGAAAATGGCCCGATAGACTTATTGAAGGTATTCCAGGTAGACTTAAAGAAATACCAAAAATGTACTCACAAGTAAAGCTCACACATTACGAAAAGCTTTATCTTATGTAATATGTATGAATTATTTCTAGGTTTGATCAAAGGAAAGTGCTTGGGTATTCCACGGTATAAAACAAAAACAAAAAAAAATGTTGTTTTTAGTCAGCTTCTCCTGGATGTCATTCTTTTGAACAAATAAAAAATGTTTTTACAAGAAAATAATTTTTTTATTGCGTGTCTTTATCTTATTGTCGTCATCAATGAAATAGGTAAAAAAACAAAAAACAAAAAAAAAACACATTGTTTTTATCAAGCGGCCTGTGGGTTTACCAAGTTGATATACGTTGGCCTGGAAGATAATGATTACTTACTCAAAGCAAACCAGATTTGAATCTTGTAGATGACGTTATCCAGCATTAAAAAAAAGCTCCTCTCAAAATATGAAAACATATTAAAAAGATTTTCATCTATTAAACATACCTTATGTTGCAAAATTTATAATTGCCAGTCATTTTGGCAGCATTAAAATATCTTGTGCTACGATTTAGGTTTAAATTATAGCTTTGGTATAATTTAAATATTTTAGATAATAATCAATCGCTTTCATTCCAATAATAATAATAATAATAATAATAATAATAATAATAATAATGAAAGGAAAGGAAACTACAAGAAATTTGTATGAACATCTACCAGACCCGCTAACAGATATAGGGCCTGTAACAATTTTATGGGACTTTCCAATGCACACAGAGAGATCAGTCAAAGCTAATCGCCCAGACATCGTGATCAAAGACCACAAGAACAGAATGTGCTTTCTTATTGACATGGCAGTCCCTACAGATTTTAATGTATCTTTGAAGATCTTCAAAAACTATCAAAATACAAGGATCTTGAAGTGGAAATCTAAAACTTGTGGCACATTGAGGAATTCCAGTTTTAGTTGGGGCCCTTGGACTGATTGGAAAATGGCCCGATGGATTTATTTTGGTATTTCTTTAAGTCTACCTGGAATACCCAGGTAGACTTAAAGAAATACCAAAATTGTACTCACAAGCAAAGCTCACACATTACGAAGGGCTTTATCTATATAAAATGTGTCTTGTCTTAGTTTTTATTTTTACAAAAAATGTTCAGTGGAAAAGGCACGAAACTAAATCTGAGCTTAGGTTTCTGATTAGGTCCCGGAAGAAAATATGTATACATAGGACATCAAAGGAAATAAAAATTCTTATGACGATGTCCAATAAACACATTGTGCAAATGTATAACGCTGCTCTGGAAACACTGTTAACGGATAAACCACCGGGAAATATCACAGAAATTAACAACATCATATACGCAACAGCTTTAGGAGCTACTGGGAAGCTTGAGGTCAAGACAATGAAAAAAAAATAGCAGATACAGTGAGCCAGCTTGGAAGGTAAAACTGATGCGAGAAATAAAGTAAATCAGATGTGAGTTTTCTATATTAGATGAGCCTCACTAGAAACCCAAATATCTCCACATGCAAATGCAAGAAGATCAAGCGGAAATATAAAATTAAATCCCGAATTGAAATTTCATCAATCAAGGAAATGCTGAAACAGAAACTTCAGTTAAAGGCACAGAGAACAAGACAATACGAAAAACGTTGTAGGTTCTATCGCCAAAATAAAGTATTCCAAACGGACCTTAAGAAATTTTACAGAGAAATTGGAAAAGAACCTATACATGTCGAAAAGCCACCATCTATTGACAAGGTGCAGATATTTTGGGAGAATATTTGAAGCAGCCCAAAGGAATATAACTCAAATGCCGAATGGATCCAACGAGAAGAACCATTGCTGGATAAACCTATGCAAGAGGGGGAAATATAACCACAGATAACGTTAGGCAAGCTCTAACGAAATCCCCAAAATGGAAATCCCCAGGAAATGACTAGGTGCCCAATTTCTGGCTCTATCATTTCTCATCAATCCATAAATCCCTTTCAAAATCTCTATCAACGCTTGTAAATAATCCCGATGAAATCCCAGAACGGATCACTGAAGGTATTACATATCTCATGCTAAAAACGAATGAAACAGATGATCCGAAAAATTATAGGCCAATAATATGCCTGTCCATCACATATAAGTTGATCACGTCTGTTCTGACGAACTGTACTTTTTCTTCGAAGCAAACAACACTGGAACAGAAGGGATGCAGGAGAGGATTATATGCCTGCAAATATCAACTACTGATAAACCAAATGATCCCGGAAATTTGCAGGAGACGATGTAGAAATCTTAGCGCAGCGTGGATTGATTATCGTAAAGCCTTTGATAGTGCGCCACACTTTTGGATTCTTAAGACTTTGGAAATGTACAAAGTTTCCCTTGTGGTAGTAAGTTTTCTTAATCACAGCATTGGAATGTGGAACACGACACTATACCTAAATCACACCAGAGGCGCTGCCATCTCCAACCGTCTGAATGTCCGACGCGGAATCTTTCAAGGAGACTCCCACTCCCCGCTTCTGTTTTGTTTGTCCTTAATCCCCGTTACACATGAAATGAACAACAATAGCTATGGTTACAAAATAGACAAAAATATTCAATCACATACTCTATATGGATGATCTCAAACTCTTTGTCAAAAACGAGAATGAGTTGAAGAGTCTCCTCAATAATGTAAAATGTTTCAGTGACGACATAGGTATGGACTTCGGATTAGATAAATGTGCAAAAATAACATTCAAGAAAGGGAGAATTATAGAAACACCCTTAATAGATTTAGACTTTGCCACAAAAATTAGGGAACTGGAACAAGATGAAGCATATAAGTATCTAGGAATTAGCGAAGGAGATGGTATACAACACCCCCAAATGAAAGTAAGAAAGGAGTACTAC